TGTACATTTCATACACGTATATTAAACCGTATACGTTCTTGCATATGAGTAAATATGTAGACGTGCACTTAGGAATATACGATAAATCGCCAATCGGTCTGAATGTTAGATTGATGAATGAGTAAGTTTGAGTTGCATGAATAGGCAGAATCATAGTAGAAAAGCGAGATAGATAGTACTTGTATTTGCACACATGTACAATCAGTAAATATATTTCTTTTCTTTGACTAATTGGCGAGAAACTCCGGGAACAGGTTCCTCGATGAGACCAGAAACAAAAAGAGACGTGTCGGTATTGTTTTTGTCATTACCTTGAATCTGACGCGACTTAAAATTCAACTTGAGCTTTCTTCGAAAGTCTACAAATTTCTATGGGTAGATAATTGCTGTCACGTTGGAGACGATCAGTGCAATAAGAAATTCAAAATATTTGGAGGCAGTTACACGTATTTTAATCAGAGATCGAATTGATGACATTCAGACGAGATTCAAAGCAGATCTTTCTTCTTTTTCTTCTTCTTCTTCTTCTTCCACTTTTTCTTCTTCTTTCCTTTCCTCTTCTTGCAACAATAGAAGAAACGTGATATCTGATATAAGCAACCTACGATCGCGATTGTCTCGTTCTTATTTCGATTAATTATCATCGAACGGCGAAGACGAAGCCAAAAAGAGACGCGTTGGACGCCTTGAAAGTCGGCGTGTGATACGCATCTCACTTCAAGTTGCAAGTGTTACGGCTTCGACTTGTCCAATGTGATTGGATTAAATTATCGATAGTTACAACTAACAATGTTTTTCTGTTCCGGAGCGGGAAAGAGAATCGCGGAAGGGTGGTGCGAGTACAACGCATCAAAGTAAGCAGCGTAGCGTGATCGCATAACAGCATTCGTGATCGTGCTTTCTTTATTCCTCTTAATAGATGCAAACTAGAAGAGAAATGAGGGGAGGAGAAGAGATGAGATGGAATACAAGAAGAGAAACGCGGAGAAGATTAACGGAGAAGAAGAAGAAGAAGAAGAAGATGCTGCAAAGGGGAAGGAGAGAGCAAACGGAGAGAAACAAGAGAATTCGCGCTTCTTTGGTCGACTTTAGACACGCGGTTTCTACAGTGGCGTGCATGCGTGCGCATACTTGGACGTTATTCATGTATGCATGTATACAGTAAGCTGTGCGTGTGCGTAGGAACGATTGGAGCCGCAAATTCCTTTTGTCCGCGCAAGCACTGAAATTCATGTCTCGCGTCCTCTCTCTTTCTGGAGCACTTTCCCCCCTTCTATCATCGTTTTTTTTTCTCCTTTCTTTCTTTCTTTCTTTCTTTCTTTCTTTCTTTCTTTCGGTTTTTTTCTATTCTTTCTTGCAATAGAGATCTCGTTCTTCGACGATGCGAGTCATCATATCGTTCATGAATCAAATGGAGTCGAATCGAATCGAATCGAATCGAATCGAATGATATCTTGCTTGATGCAAGACTGGTCTCAAAGGACTTTCGTTATCTTGTCACAATACCTAGTTGGGTCTACATCACAAATTCTATCGAGAATGAAGATGTTTCCTTCGGGTTTTTCAACTGATTAACAAACTTACAATTTTCACAGGAAGGATATAATCCGTTAAAAAAATATTACTTTCTTAAACTCTTGTTAAAATTGTTGCAGCACGTACGTACATGTACGTATATGTATATCAAGCCTAGGAAAGAATCTTCATTTTCATTTTTTGTTTCTTTCTTTTTGTGTTACGTGAAATTGTCAATATTAATCATATATACGGTATTTCGCAATTTAACCGATTGAAAATATAAATTCTCTGGTAATTCAATAGGAACGCATGAAAATCAGGATCCTATCTTCAAGTATACATCACTGCAGCGCTCATCCCTCCTCTTTTTCTTTCTGCTGTGTCGTGTATGCACGCATATACGTATATATAGTCGGGATCAGCGTGTTCACCGAGTATAATATAACGCTAGCTTTGTCGTTGCGAGAGTAGAGGCACAATTTCATCCTTTTTCCGTTCTCTCGCGAACCTTGCATCCGTCTTTGTCGTACTGTAGCCAAACGCATTTCAGCTCTTCGTTTTCCATATTCCATCTCGTTCATTCGGCTACAGACTATATTTCTGTTTTTGTTCGACCAGAGAGAAAGTCTTGCTCTCTCCCACGGGAACCACTCGTCGATGTTCGTCGCTTAACCGTCAGAGGCGAGCGCACGCTTCTCTCGAACACCGCAGACTTCGCCTCTCCGCCGATCCCCGATCCCCGTTCCAACCGCCATGCTCGATGCTCTCTATCACCCCTCCACCGAACGGACTTGTGTGTCGGCTCATTCCCCTCACCGGTGCGCCGTTTTCCTCCAACCATCCTGCCACCCGCCGGTTTTCAACCCCTTTCCCCGCTCTCTCGGGGACTGGTCAGGTGCGCTGGCTCGCTTGCTCACTCCATGCGTATGCTCAATCGCTCTCTGTCCACCGCCGAGCACGCATCCCCCACGAGTCTCTTCCTCGTTGTACACGCTCGAGCGCGGTCTGAATCCGTCCTTGTTCGTCGCGTCGGCGAATTTCGCGGCATCCTCCTCCGCTACCGCTGCCGCCGCCACCACTTCTCTCCCCTCCCCCCTTTTCCTCCTCCTCC